CACACCTAACATATTGATTTAAAATTACGAATAATAAAAGTGAAATTATTTAATGGTCTTAATCTTGATGAGTGTTTACTATCATATGAAATCTGTGTAGCAATGCTATAAGTAAATAAATCGATTCGGTATTATACGTATTACCTGCTTGCAACTCTATCTATCAACCGCAAGAATTAAGCCATTTTGTACAGGACAGGAATTGAAAAAAAATTAGCGTAAGATATTTCAATCGCTCAAATATTCATTAATCGTCAGTGGTTATGTTAATAAGCAAGTCCTTCAGTAAACAAATTTTTATTGACTTATGCGTACAAGTAAATTAAGCATAGACGTATTGTTAAATCTCTTTGAAGTCGTAAGTACAGAAAATTGTTCGTACTTAATTATGCTACATTTATCTGCACCTATAATGACAACATAATCATTATCCTATAGGGCTGGCATTGTTATCTGTTGTTTATTTGCGCTGCAAGATAGATCATAATTACGAATGGAATTTGCTGATATTATCAGTTATGCCTTTATACAGTACTACATAAAAGCTTTGATATTTCACGTTGATTAAAATAGAAAATGATGTGAACCAGTTTTACGTAGGATCATAATAAATGTAGCTTTGCCATGATGAGTAATTATGCCAATAAGGCTGTATTGATGAAGCCTTAAAGTGTATCTTAACGACTGTTCTAATTGAATTAACCAGAGATAGAACCAGCCATGTAAACTTGTGAGGAGGGGTAAGACCTACTCATGCGTTGAGTCTAAGCAGCAGTTTCTCTTCACTCTCTAATAAAATCTTTCCTGATTTCGATATTTGATAAACTAAAATGGGAGCCCTACCTTCTGTCTCGCTCCATATGTTAAAGATGTGTCTCTCAATTTCTCATGAGTGCTAGATTAACTTATCAGCAGGCTAGGGGCGGGCTCATTCCCTACCATGATACTCATCTGAACGGGCCTAAAAGTTTCCAATTACTAAGAAAAATACAGACCTCTATTATGCTACTAGCTCTCTAATAAAAGCTTTACCCATTTCCATATTTATTTGATGAACTAAAATGAGTGTCTGCTGTCTTTCTAGTCCTTATTGTCCATATCTCAAACATGGGTCACCGACTCATGCTGTAGACCAAATTAAGAAAAACAGATAGCTCATTATCCTATTAACTCTCCAATAAATGCTAATATTGTCTTTCAATCAGTTTCACTTTCTTTTCCTCGTGCCCGGTACTACGTGTGTATTGATTACTGCAATGATTATTATGAATAGCAAATTCCAACTTTGTTAACAATCACTGCACCCTCTGCTACTGGAATAATCTACTGAAATGCTTGTGCAATTACCGAATGCATATCGAGAATATTCTGATGAATCGAAGCCTATGCTATCAATTAATTTACAACAGTACAATACTGTCACTATGGAATACATACAACTTTATGGCTACGATGCAGTAAATTGTATGCTGTTTGTTCGACGCAATCTTGACTTCAATGCAACTTGTTAAACAGCACGAACAGATGAATTTGCAATGAAGGATAACTTTATTTTTATTTTGATGACAATGTCAGACTTTGACTTTAGTCCCCAAAATCCGTTGCTGAAACTGAAAAGACAACAGGTTCAAAAAAAAAGCTATATTAATTAATATTAACTTGGTATTAAACAACGTTGCATTTGACCAATACGAGAAACAACACTAAACCCAGAAAAGGACAGATTGATAAAGCTTGCAAGTAGTCATGTGGAAGCATACATTAAAACGTTAATATGCCATACGACAGTAATGATTAGAACTGCTATGGCGAGCGAAATAACCCTATTTGAAATTATAAAACTTGATAGAGCGGTATTATGTCAATGAAATGGTGCAATCCTAATTTAAAGTGTTACCTTATAACCCAAAATAAATTAATCAATAGACATTACCGACATGATATGACTAAACATGAAATTATTTCATGCACACATCGTAAACATTTAAGCAAAAAATACAGCGCCACCAATATTTTTGGATAAGACTTGCTCTATCTTACGATTCATTTCTTGCGGTCTCATCTCTCCTCCAAGTTGAGCCATGTAAGAACGTGCTCGAAAAGCTAAATGATGAGAATAATAAACTGGAGCTGGAATAGAAACACTTCTAGTGCAACGACAGTAGACATGACACAATTGATAGGTAAACTCTTGTAAGCTATCCGCTGATAACTTATTTTCATCCAGTAATACATGGTAGTGAGTAGGTCGACTTGTTCCTTGGATACCAAAGTGACTGCATAGATAGAAATCGAACTGGGAAGGATGGCAAACGCCTCGATCGACTACTAGGCCTGGTGGGACATTGCGAGCTTTCCCCACGGAATCTTTATTTTGAGATGGGAAAAAGCGTGTATGATGACGCTTTTGAACTACTAAAAAGGTAATAGCTGGTCGATAGCCTTCTTCTATGCTACGGCATGCTTTCTCGATCGCCGTTAATTCTTCGCGAATGACATCGTTAAATTGGCCTTCGCTAACTCCATCGCGATAAAAGATGATTCGCTCAGGCTTTCTATGTAATTTTCGATAGAACGAAAGCATCATGGTTTTAACTACACTTTGTAAATCTTGAATGATTTCTTTACGATGTTCTTGGATACGAATAGCATGAAAATAGTGACTCAAATCGATGTTGGCACTTCCAACGATTGCTGCAACCGATGGCGATGTTTGATCACCGATGCCTGGATGAGTGACATCAGCACCAAAGATGATTGTTGGCTTCTTTAATAATTCCGATTGATTGATGGTATTGTTCGTCCCTCCTAATTTAGCGTTAATCTTTAAAGCTAAGTTGGCTAGGAATTGATGATTGGCTTTGTCGATATTCTTAATTTGCATACACTGCGTAGGTACTTGATAGTCTAAATCGCAGGTTGTTTTGATGGATCCGTAAATTTCTGCCGATTGCCCGGTATTAGGCATAAAATGAAATCGAGCTTTCCTGAAGTTCGGCGCATCCAGTCATCCATGGTACGCTTGAAATCGTCGTTTGCATTAGCGATACAACGTGGGTTACTTACAAGATTTTTTTCGTTGATGCCTTCGATACCACAATCTGCAGTCGATTTCTTCAACTTACTGATTAATACTTCTACTTTTCTGGGATTTAACATTCGATCACGAAACCAAACACAGCCCCAAGAATGAACTTGCTTGCTGGAGATAAATTGAGCATTTTGTAGATTCCAGCTTCCATCACGTGGTAGCATTTCACCAGAACGATAGATGACTTTGACCGGTGATAAAACTCGCGCATCGACTTTTTTCATGTGAGGATCGACTTGAATATTGAATCCTTTACTCACTGGATCGGTAGAATACTGTGCTGTACGATTGACAAATGTATCAATTTTGCCTCTCCGTTGATCGGCCGGAATAGCTGCAAATCTTACCATGCTAGCTGTTTCACGCTCGTTAATTTTCTTCTTGTAGTATTGTCCAGGTATAATTTCGCACACTTCCATAGGTAAATGAATTTCTTTATTGTTCATTTTTAAACAGGGTAAATCGGGATAGCGGATGGTATAGCCATAAGTCGTTTTAAAATAGTCTGTCACACTGACTCGTTTTCCGTTGTGATCAAATTGAATTTGATTGGGTTTATTGTTGGAGATATCGGTGATTCTATATTTGCGTTTTTTGTCACCATGAAGAGCAGTCACTTTGACATTTTTCAATTCGGATGCCATGGTTTTTCTTTGAAAATCTCGTAGTGATCGTATTTCATCTTGATTGAAATAGCGAGCGATAAAGTTATGGACGAGTACAGCCTCATAAAATGCAGTATGCGAGGTGTCAATATTTAAGGATAAGCCCGTCTGTGTTGAACGTGCACTTTGATAATAACCACGCCAACTTTCATGTCCACAGCCTAACGATCGCCAATCGTCATCAGCAGGTTCTGGATAAAAGGATCGATAAACCATGGTGAATTTCTTGGCCAGAGTACAACGTAAAACAACATCGACTGCTTGTATTGCTTGATAGGGGACATCGGTTTCGCCACGTAACGCTCGATTTAAATCGGTTAATTGGATTAATTGCACTTCCTTAATTTGGATTTTGAAACTTTTAATGGCGCCAGGTCTCATTTCTTTATCAATGGTGAATGTCTTTCCATCACTGCTAATTCCATTTAGTCTTTTATTAGCATAAATATTGCGTACACCATCAAACGCTGTTACAACACCACGAAAAAGCTGTGAATAACTGGATTGTAAAATAGAAATGAAATCGCGTAGATCAGATTTAATTTTGACTTCAGGATTAGTTTGCATATCATATTGAATGATGGAATTCTCCGCTTGAAAGGAGATTGGATAATGATTAGCGTAAACTGCAATGCGTTTTCCTTTGCTACCAAACCCATTGCGTTGAGGTAATGCTGCTTTGGTAAAGGCTGTTGCAGCCATCTTTTCCTTTTTCAGTAAAAGCTAATATGATCTGCAAAGAGAAAGAGAGAGAGAAACAAAAATGAGCTTCCTGCCGCGTGCACAAGTCCCAAACGATGCTGATGGCAAATTCAAGCGAGTCTTGCGTCTATTTATACTAGCGCCGAGATGACGTCATGGCGGCGAGAAGAGTTTATTGGCTGTTGATTGGATGGGAGGAAAGATAGAGCGCAAAGCTGCGGTCAAGACTGGCCATCCGGGTTATGGCGTCGACTAAAGCTTTTTGTATGCAATAGCGAGTCATGTTATAAACAGTGGGTAGAGACGAGAAGCGAGCGACTCGCAGATGGAGGGTGAAAGGCTGAAAGCGTCAACTAGGCTACTGGCGGGTACGGTTCGGTTCGGTCGCTATTGCAGCATACGAGTACTGGAAAAAATGGCTGGCATGGCAAGCAAGAAGGTTGGGCGCAATGGCTAGCTAGATCCGACAGAGTACAGACTGGAGGCAATTGACCGCTGGCAATTTACCTTATTGGATCAATTTTACGCTAGATTGAACGCTGTAATATAATCAATCCACCCTCGTCCTATCCTAAGTATTTTATTCAAAACAGATCCTTTACTGCATGGGAGTCATTGGACGCTGTCTATTATAGGATTGAATGCTGCAAAGTATTCCATCCACCCTCGTCCTATCAAAACAGATCCTTGACTGCATTGGATGAATTTAGTTGGCGGTCTATCAAAACAGATCCAAATGGACTGCATTGGATGAATGTTACGGTCTATCAAAACAAATCCTTGACTGCATTGGATGAATTCATTGGACGTCTATCGAAACAGATACTTTACTGTATTGGATTAATTTGACGGTGTACAGGATTGAATGCTGCAAAATATTCCATCCACCCTCGTCCTATCCAAACAGACCCTTGACTGCATTGGATGAATTTAGTTGGCGGTCTATCAAAACAGATCCAAATGGACTGCATTGGATGAATGTTACGGTCTATCAAAACAGATCCTTGACTGCATTGGATGAATTCATTGGACGCCTATCGAAACAGATACTTTACTGTATTGGATTAATTTGACGGTGTACAGGATTGAACGCTGCAAAGTATTCCATCCACCCTCGTCCTATCAAAACAGACCCTTGACTGCATTGGATTAATTTGACGGTAAATCGTCCTAGTTGTGAAATGGAAATGACAACTTATATCATAGGCTACTCAATATTCTTCATGAACATATGGAGGAGTCTGCTAGCTTGGACAACTTGAAAAATCCGATTGGATCATCGCACTGATATTGTTGTTTACAAATAAAACTTGAAACGGACAGTACTACCAATCACTTGCTGCTTGACTACTCTCTTCAACAAGCTTGTGGTGGAATAGAAGCGGACTGCAACAATTGAAAAGTTCTACCACAGGCTACTCAATGCTCTTCATAAAATAGTGAGGAATCTCTTGTAGCTAAAGCAAGACAGCTTGAAAAAATAATCCTACCACTACACGTATCCTAGATCATCGCACTAACATTGGTTACAAATGAAAAAGTAGGCAACCATGCAACCATTTTACCGACACTGCTACCGATCCATCAGTACTTCAACAAGCAACAAGTAGTGCCGTTGAAATAGATATAGGGAGTGAGAGTTGTTATGCAAGGATTACTCCATCATCTTTATGAACTCAAATATTGAGGAGTTACTGGGAGGGCATCGACAGCTTCGGAATGGTCAAGTGAAATTACTAGATCGACCAGTATTGTTTGCATGACTAAAAAAGTACAAGAGTCATGTAGAGGACCTTGATGAAGAGCATGAGTTGCTATTTCTGCTACTTATACTGACCAATTCTAATTGCTATTAAACCAACTCAGAAAGCAAGTAGTGGAGTAGAAATAGATTATAGTAGTATTTTCTAGGGACTACGAAAAGAAATAGAGAAGGACATTTTAGGCGATCAATATGCCTGTTTCGTGCTGGAAGTAGTTACAAGGCGAAAAGTGATAATCACGCAATTTGGAGGACAATATCCCAAAATAATGAGGTAGAATTTATTCCAATGATGCTTCAATCCAGTAATAATGGATTC